CCGTTAACTCCTTCATTCACCCCCCTCCCCCCACCCCCTGCCCCAACCCCCCAACCCCCCTCCTTCCTCATTCTCCAAGCAAAGAGAAAAAAAAGCAAGAAATCTCCAAACAAGACGAACAACATCCTGTCTAATATAGCAGCTTCACTATAATCTTAAACATTCCGAACAAGCGGGGCATCTGCTGTGGACCAGGCGAGCGTGAAAAGTGAGAATACATTATCCTGTACTTTTTGGCCACAATGACCGACGCCGACACTGGGAGGCATCGAAGGCGCAAAGAACTCTTCCTCCCCTATTCAAATTTTAGGGAAGAAAACGGACGTCGAGCGCATGGGGAGGGGTGGGTGGTGGGACTCAAGGAGAATTCTGGAAGATGTGTGACTTATTTTTTAACTTTTTTTTTTTCTTTTTCTTTCTCTCTCTTCCTTTCTTTCTTTTTATTTTTTTTTTATCTTTTTTTTTTTTATTATTTTTTTTTTTTTGATGGCTAGAACGGGTTGGGCAATATGAAGCTTTTCTCGCGGGAAATTTGCATTTTGTCTATTGTTTATCTTGTGTTTCATGTTCAATCTGCAATGTTTAATAGTATAAAATATCTACGAGAGTGGAGTTTGCATGGACTCTAAGTAATAGAATCTAAAAATAAATAAATGCAGAAAGAACGGACAAACCAAAATAAAAATCTGTGGAAACTTTGATGAATAAGTCATGTGACCTCCTGCTTATTGACTGATGGCGTTCTCCCTCCTCTCCCTCTCTCTCTCCCTCCCCCTCCCCTCCTCTCTCCTCCTCCTCTCTCTCTCTCTCTCTCTCTCTCTCTCTCCTCTCTCTCTCTCTTCTCTCTCTCTCTCTCTCTCTCTCTCTCTCCTCTCTCTCTCTCTCCCTCTCTCTCTCTCTCTCTCTCTCTCTCTCTCTCTCTCTCTCTCTCTCTCTCTCTCTCTCTCTCTCTCCCTCTCCATCTATGTTTATTTGTCTATACATTTAAATCTCGTTTAAATAAACTATTTATTCATCTTTTTCCATATTTTTCGCACGTAGGAACTATTAACGATAAATAATTAAAACATGTCCACATAGAACTATAACAATTCTTTTAAATGAACTAAACCAAGCAAACAAACAGATCTTACAAACACCCTAATCACGAGACCGGCGATCAAGGGGGGAGGGGGGGGGTCGCCCTCGTCTTCACACCTCTCCGACAGGTACGTGCGGGCGTGAGTATGGAAGGGGGGGGTGGGGGTTGATGGGCTCATTTAGTCACCTATATTAGTAGCCTGACTTCCGCTCGTCTATCAGCAGTCACTTTTGACGAGGTTTGGGCGCCTCATTCCCCCCCCCCCCCCCGTCTCTCCCATGACCTGCGCCCACATATTCAGACGTCAGTGAAGAACATGACTGTCAGGAGCGGCCAAGGAGTTCGTTGACTCGCATAGTTCTATTTCGAAGTCGCTTGTGCTAATGATGATTTTATTTGATTTTATTTTTTTTGGTCGTTTTTTATTTTGTTTTTGTTTTCAGGTGTGGTTTATTTGGGTGATGAAATAAATTGATCGTGGGGGTCCACAATAAAATGAAAAACAGAGATTCTTTTTTTTTATAAAAACTTCATGCGTTCGACATTGAGAAAAGAAAGAAGGGGGAAGAAACGAAAAGGGAGAAAGAAAAGAAAGGAGGATGAAAAAATCAGAGAACCATAAGTTAACGTCCTCTACCAAATCTAGCAATCTTCGACGTCAAAAAGGATCTTGCAAGACGCTCGAAACGCAAATGCACTTGCAACCTCCCCCTCCTCCTCTTCCTCTCCTCCTCCTACTCCCTCCTCTTCTCCCTCTCCACTCCTTTCTCTCCATCCGCCATTACACAACATATACCTATTTTCCTTTTCGTATTTTTTTTCTCTTTTGAGGAAGCGAAGGGAATTGCAAATCTTAAGGTCCTGGTCTTGCAGAAAACTTTCGGAAAATCATGACTAGTAATAAATAAACAAGAGGATGATGAGGAGGCGTCCAGGAGAAGGGTGGGGGGGAGGGGAGGAGGAGGTGGAGGGGAGAAGGAGGAAGAGGAGGAGGGGAGAAGGAGGAGGAGGAGGAGGAGGTGGAGGGGAGAAGAGGAGGAGGAGGAGGGGAGAAGGAGGAGGAGGAGGAGGAAACAGACTTGTCAGTTCTCTTCTTTTTTATGCAAGATTATCAGGCAAATGCTTAAAGAGAGAATGTGTGAAGGAGAGAGAAGGAGAGGAGAGGAGGACAGGAAAGCGCGCGAGAGAGCGACAGAAAGAGAGAGACAGAAGGAGAGAGACAGAAAGAGAGAGAGATAGAAAGAGAGAGAGAGAGAGAGAGAGAGAGAGAGAGAGAGAGAGAGAGATAGATAGAGAGAGAGAGAGAGAGAGAGAGAGAGAGAGAGAGAGAGAGAGAGAGAGAGAGAGAGAGAGAGAGAAAAGAAGAAGAAATCATAGACACTGCAATGCTTACAATGAAAAAGTTGAGTGTCGGGGAAATCAGGAAAATTAACATTCTTGAAAGCAACTGCCGCCTAATTTGCAAAATATCCTTCTCAATGAATTTTCCTTAAACACCATAGCAAATTTCCTATTTGGAAAAAGAAATATCTTGATATCTAAACGAAGGCGGTGCTAGAGGAAGCACAAATAGCATCCAAATATGTGATTGAAAGTCACTAGCCTTCATTCTAAACGTAAAATCAATCCTTTCCGAAAGAACTAGAAATGAAATAACACGAATTTGATACTCCAGAAAACCAACACTAATTTAAACTGTAATTTTCCCTCGCTTTTTTAAATCCCCACTTTCTTATATTTAACTTTTCCCATCGCAAACAATAAAGACAGGGCCGGCCTCACGAATCTCCGCGACGAGACACGGCAAAAACAAACATGGGCCATTAGACCTTAACTTTCTTCAAGAGTCCGCGCCAAAAGTAACAAATAAAAAAATAAAAGGGAGGGAGGGAGGAAGGGAGGGAGAGGGAGAGGGAGAGGGAGAGGGAGTAAGAGAGGCAGACAGATAGAGAGACAGAGACAGGCAGATAGTGATACACAAACATACAGAGAGGCAAAGACAGACAGAGGCAGACAGACAAACGGACAGAAAAAAGAGATAGAGACAAAGAGAAGTAAACAAGGGGGGAACAGACTCGATCGTGGAAAACAAGGAAGTTGGAAAAACGAAAAAGACGACGGAAGGCAAGAGGACGAAGGAAGGAAGAGCCCCGAATGAGGGGAAAAGGGAAAGTGCCACGGACGGGCCCTGGGCTTAAGCATGGGGGTTCTGTCAAGTATGTGCAGAAACAATAAGAGGGTTAAGGGCCGCGCACGCAAGCCAGTGTACTCCAAAAAGGTGTGAAAACAATTTTGAGTCAGGTGTTAAGGCGGACCCGTAATATATGCA